TTTTTATTTATTATTTCTATTTTATGTGTATGAGTGTATTGCCTGCATGTGTGTAAGTGCGCCCATGTAGTGCAAAGCCCATGGAGTCAGAAGAGGGCAGCGGATCCCCTGGAACTGGAGTTAGGAACGATTGTTAATCATCAAGTGTGTGCTGGGAATTGAACCTGGGTCCTCTGTAAGTCAGTGTTCTTAACCGCTGAGCCATTTCTCTAGCCCCTAACTGTCTGGGGGCTGTAGTGCACGGAAAACAAATAGCCAGAAATTTTCTGTAAGATTAATGGGTGCTGGGGATGGCAGTCAAGAGTAGGGCATTTGCCAGGTATGCTGGAGGCCCTGATTACATCCTCAACACAACAAAATTATAAAAACGTTTCAGGGCTGAGAATGCAGCTCTGTTGGTAGACTGATTTGATCTCCAGCATTCCATAAGCCGGGAATGGTGGCCCATGTCTCTAATTCCAACACTTGGGAGGTGGAGGCAGAAGGATCAGGAATTCAAGGCCAGCCTGTACCTCCGTCTCAAAGAAAAACGTTTTATCCTGGAGAATTAACACTGAGAATGGGTCGCCTAGTCTTCAACATAAACCCTTTCAGATTTGAGTTAGCCAAGAAAATCTAAGTAAACTCGTGGAGAACGCTTCTGTAAAAATCTGCCGGCCACCTGAAGCTCTCTCTCTCTCCCTGTCATCAACTCTGCTGGGTGGAGATCACAATGGTGGTCCAGCTGATGGGTACGCCATTGCTGGCAGCGGAGGGCTTTACCTGCAGTTCTCCTTGAAGCGGCACTTTCCCTCCAGGAAGAACGGGCAGGGTTTCAGTGACTTGTGGGTGGGGTAAAGGTAGAGCACACGAACACAGGCCGAACCATCCTCAGCCTCTTCGGTTCCCACTATCATGGCGTTGTGATACTCCAGCGTGCCCCACGCACTGTGGTAGGGGGCGTTCACTTTGGCACCACTCAGTTCCTCCAGGTCCGGGTCCTCATCTTCCTCCAGCGCAGGGGAGGCGGGTCCGGGCCGCGCCTCTCTCCCTGGGAGCGTCTCCGAGTCGGCCCCGGGGGCCGCGGGAGTCTCTACTACCTCTGCAATGGCCTTCTGGAAAGCCAGGTACTCGGCATCCTCCTGCGCAGGGTGCTCCTGGTCCAGCGAGGCCAGCAGCTTGCTCTTCCTGACAGACACCAGGCTGGCCTCGGTGAGTTCGATCAGTTCCTTAAGGTCGCCCTGCAGCTGGCGCAGGTCCGCCTGCTCGGACGCATTCAGGCCGGCACCGAGCGCTAGCTCCACCTGCCGCAGCTGAGCCCGGTAGGTCTGCAGGGCTGTCTCCAGGCTCTCCTCGTCCATCCCGACCAGAGAAGGCGAGTATCGGAGCGGCTACGCCGGGCCCGGCAGAGATGTAGCCAAGAGTTGACAAAGAGCAGTGCGATGTGGCCAGAACAGCGCCGCCCCTCCAGAGGAGCTCCAGAGGAGGTCGGCGGCCCGCTGCGCGCAGCTCGCGGTGCCCTCGGAGCTCTCCAGCCCCGCCTCCCTCCAGCACTCGCTCCAGGGAAGAGTTTCGGGACACACCGGCGAAGCCCAAGCGCCAACCTTCCTCCCGCCGCCGGCACTTCCGCTTGAGAGTCGCGGCCGCCGGAAAGATCAGGGCGCAGGGGCCGCCGGGATGCGGCGCGCGAGGGCCGCCGGGATGCGGAGCCGCCAGTACTCCAGTCGGGATTCGTTGTCTTGTCAGGCATTGCGCGGGGTCAGCGTGGGGTCGACAGGCCAGTAACGCGGCGGTCGCGACTCCTAGACCTGAGTGGGTGCAGGTGGGCCTCAGCTGGGCGGAATCAGGGTTCCGGAAACGACGGGGCGGGAGTTCTTGTATTCTGGTGGAGGGTGGCCGCGGCTTGGCCTGGGTTCTGGGTTCCGTGGGTCCGGAAGCGGCAGGGCCGCGGTTTCTGTGTCCAGGAGCCCGGTAGCAGTTTGGCCTGGGTCCTGGGCCCCCTGGGCCTGGCAGCAGCGTGACTCTGGGGCCGGGCAGAAGCGCTGCCTGTCTGGTGGGCGCCCTTGAAGGTCGCTGGCCTTGAACCGCGACTAGAAAGTTGCAGTCTCAGTACCTGACGCCGAGCGCTGAGTCAGGGAAAGGAGCTTTGGGAAGGCAGAGCATGCTTGTCTGCAGCCTGCTTTCAGAACACGAAAGGGATGAACAAGATTTGTGTTCTGAAAGGTGACCTGCAGTGGGAGTGGGCCAGAGTGAGCTGGTGGTCAGCTATGGAGGCGGGGTCAGGGGTCTCAGAGAAGAGGGACAAGGAGTCAGAAGCCGCGCAGCTCCACCTTTAAAAATAGCAAGGGGTGCTGGAGAGATGGCTCAGCGGTTTAGAGCACTGGCTGCTCTTACAGAGAAGACGGGTTCACTTCCCACATGGCAGCTAACAACAGTCCGTAATTCCAGCTCTAGGGGATCCGATGCCCTCTTCTGACCTCCACGGAATTGCACGACATAGGCGCACTTGCATACATGCAGGCAATACACTCATACACATAGATAAAAATAATAAAATATTTTTTAAAAAGCCTAGCAGGATAGACTGACTATAGAAGTGGGCGGGAGGCTGGTGCTCAGGATACACCTTAACATCTCTCGGAATGCCAGGGCAGGATGTACACGTTGCTGTCGGGGCTGTACAAGTACATGTTCCAGAAGGATGAGTACTGCATACTGATCCTGGGCCTGGACAATGCTGGAAAGACGGTAGGTGCCTGTTCTTTTGTTAGCTCCCCTTCCCTGCCTGGTGTTTTGTTTTATATGGGAATGTAGACCCCTCCTGAGAGACTACAAGATAGCCATCACCCGCCTCCTGAAGAGCAAGCAAGAGGCACAGGTGCGCGTGCATGTGGGGGACACTCAAGGGTGTGGAGGCCAGAAGTTGCCTAACGAGGGATATTTTGGAGAGAGACTGGAAAACTGCTCTAGTTACCCCTATCTAAATACCTCTCTTTCTTTCCACAGACCTTCCTGGAACAGTCAAAAACACGGTTTAACAAGAACTACAAGGGAATGAGTCTGTCCAAAATCACCACCACCGTGGGTCTTAACAGTAAGGGGGTACCTTAGGGATGAATTTAGGGGGTCCCCTAGAGATGGATGCTACAAGGTCCACAGCCCCCTGGGACTGGCACCAGAATTTTTTGCTTCATCCTGGGGAGATGGGACTTGGTGTAAAAGGGACTATGGTGGAACTAGCCCATTCTATCCTCTTCCCCAGTTGGCACTGTGGATGTGGGAAAGGCTCGCCTCATGTTCTGGGACTTAGGTGGGCAAGAAGAGCTGCAGTCTTTGTGGGACAAGGTAAGATAATACCACCTGCCCCTATGCTGTTTTTTCCCTCCATGAGGGCTCTTATTACCCACACTTGTCCTGAAGGTTTTCTCTCTCTTCTTTTTTTCTTTTTTTGGTCTTTTTGAAACAGGGTCTCCCTGTAGCCCCAGCTGTCCTGGAACTCACTATGTAAACCAGGCTGGCCTTGAACTCACAGAGATCTGCCTGCCTCTGCCTCGCAAGTGCTGGGAATAAAGGCATGTGCCACCATGCCCAGCTTTCTCTCTTTTTTTAAGATTGGGGTTGGGGTGTGTCATGGCCTGCATGTGGAGGCCAAGGGACAACTTTGTGAAGTTGGTTTTCCCAACTTTATGTGGGGTCCAGTGATTGAACTCAGATTGTCACGCTTGTACAGCAAGTACCTTAACCCACTGAGCCATCTCACTGGCCTTGTCCTAAAGATTTTCTCCTTGATTCTATCCCAGTTTCCCAAGTTACTCTGTTTCATTCTGACAAAACCCATGGCTAGAGTCACTGAAAAAGTGGTATTGGGAGTTCCTCTAGGGAGTGCCTGACCTTCTGATGGGGCTAGTTTAGATTCCAAAGAAAGAAGTACTATACCAGGGTAGTGACTAGGGGACTCAGGAGTCAGCAGCACGAGCAGATTTGACTGACATATCGCCTAGCGGTTGAAGTGGGTCCTGCAGAAGCCAGAGTGAAGCTGTCCACTAGATACACTGCCTCTAGGTAGCCCAGTCACCAGTGGGGCACACTGCCTGTGCATTGCTTGGATTTGCACTCTGCATTAGAGAATTTCCCTTTCAGAATTGAAGGTATGAGGAGGGTAGACAGCAGTCTTTAGTAGCTGGTTGTCAAGTTGTAGTCATCTTGGCAATGATGTGACCTCATGGGTGGTTGGGTCACCCTGTCACCTGCCAACCAGGACAGTTATACCTGAACACAGGGAGCCCAGTGTACCCAAAGAGCAATGTTTGGCTCTGCTGTGTGTGTGCAGGAACCCAGCCCTACAACATCCAGGATTGTGAAGATGGGCAGCAGAGTCCCCTCTGTGTCACTGGGAAGGTTAGGAAGAGGGGCCTCTGGTCTTACTTTTGTTCCTGGGTGCTGTGGAACCCAGAATCTCCAAAAGAGCTCTCATTAGGAGAGTTAGTGTCTGTGCCTAGAATCTCACAGTAACACTCCCACACAGGCACTGTGCCTCAACACTCTTGCGTTGTGGCCACAGGTCCTTTTATGAGTTTCCTGTGCTGACATCATTTGACAGGATCATAAGATCTGTGGGCTGGTGTCTCACACCTGAGAACACCCCTTTGCTGATTTCCTTGAGGGATGACACCTTATAGGACTCAACCACACTACTCCCAACAAGTTGGGAGTCTAGCAGTGACTCCAGTGGCCTTTGTGAATGGAGCTTGTACCAAGCTTATAGTCTGTTATTACGGCTCCTGCTCTCCATGGTCCAGCACAGCACCACTGATGGTCAAGTTTCTATCCAGTGGATTCCCTGGTGGACCTTGAGATAGGAACCAAGTACCCATGTGTGTTGTTTACATCTACCTCAGGTTCTTAGAGCCCACTCTGCTGACCAAGCACCAGGCTGTTGTCCACAGATCTCTGTATATGCCAGGCTTAGCCCACAGTTCACAAAAGCAGGACCAAGTGGGTTGTCCACTTCTGGCCTATCCTACTATGTCCAGTTGGCCCAAACATCTATACTTGAGTGTTTCCCTTTATTGGTTATGCAGTCTCAACTGCCCCCCACCCCTCAACGTGGCCACAAGTGTGACTTTTCCATTGAGTTTTGGTGTGATGTTCCCATCTCATTGATCTGTTGGACCATTCCCTTGGGCCTGGTGGCTGTGGTGGGTGACTCTGGCTACTTGGTTCCTAAGTATGGTACCCAGTTACCCAAGACACCCCTTGTTGCCTTACCTTGCTCTGGAGCCGCAGGTACTACCCACTCACTGGGCTTGCTACAAACTTAACGATGGTGGATATCTCTACAGTAGGACCTGCCATCTCCCAGACCTCTAGCAAGATGCTAACCCAATTGCCCTGCCTCCAGAGCTGGCAGCTTCTGTGCCAGGCCAGTTGCTAGGCTGGAGCAGTCCTGGATAGGTCTGACTGCAAAGGCCTGTAGGGGGGATCTGGGATCCAGTGCTCTATGGGAAGTGCAAATGGGGAAGGAGTTTTACTGGAGTGCCCCTTCCTCAGTCATCACACAGCCTTAGGGGCATATATCCTGTCCTATCTGCAGCACATAATTTTATTAGTGTTGATGTCTCACTAAGGCAGGAAAGCCAGCATAGTCCTGAAGTGAAGTGGCAAGTGTATACTGTCTGTCCTGCATGGCAGGAACTCAGACATGGTCTTCATTGCCACATGGATCTGTTCCTCCTATGCTTGCCTTGTCCATTTATTTGGCCCCATCAGTGCTGTCCACTGCTTATCTTTGCTGTTGAAAGCCCAGGACTGGATATATTCAGCCTGCAGAAGCCTAAGCTCAGTAGTGTCTGGTCTGTCCTGGCTGGACATGGCAGGGCAGCTTTACAGGCAGTACTGACCTCAGTCATGGGCCTCTACTGGCTTGTCCATTTCTGGCCCTGTTTCTCACCCATTTGCCAGTACTATCTGGCCAAGACTGCAGGTGGTTCTCAGGAGCAGCACTTGTGCAGGGGGAGGTACTGTGACATCTTTACTACTGAATCCCTCGGTCCCAGAAAGCTTCCTAACAAGTCTTCCCACTGGGTTGTGCCAATTTCCTCATTGTGACCCTGGGGTAGAAAAGTTCCCACCACTCTGCTTGTCTCTTTTGTGGGCCCCTCCCTGGTGGCTGTGACACTTTGTGTGTCCAGCTAGCCCATCTGTGAGCACGTGCAGCCCCAGCTTCTTCCATTTCCTTCTAGTACTATGCAGAATGCCATGGCGTCATCTATGTCATTGATTCCACTGATGAGGAGAGACTGTCAGAATCAAAAGAGGCATTTGGTGAGTGTAGCATGGCCACTTCCAGAGGGAAAGAAGACTGAGGACCTACATCTAGGGAGCTGTGTGGGAAGGGCTTGGGAGGAGGAATGCACCAGTCCAGTCCTGGCCTCCTATGTCTACAGCTGGCTTTCAGGGAGACTGGGTGCCAGTGCCAAGAGGGCCCCAGTCATGTTGCTCAGGCTGCCTGGTGAGGGAAGAAAAGGGTGGAAGGGAGCTCTCTGTCCTTACCAGTGGGTCCTGGGAAGGTCACAGGGTACAAGGCATTACCTCTCTTGCTCTCCCCAGAGAAAGTGGTTTCAAGTGAAGCGCTGGATGGTGTCCCCATCCTGGTGTTGGCCAACAAGCAGGATGTGGAGGTGAGCCCCACAAAGCTGCTTCAGAGTTCCCATCCCTCATTGCAAGAAGGATGTGTGTCTCCTCAGATTCCCAGAACCTTGTGTCTGTCTCATTCATCCTAATCCCCGCTCCTCTCTTGAGGCCACTTCTCCATACCCACAGGACCTCCACCTTCCTAACTTCAGTTCCTCTCTGGGTGTCACCTGAAGCTGCCATTATTAGAACAGGGGTGTCCCCACTAGAGGTTCTTAGATCCAGAGTCCAGGTACCACCTTCTTCCTCAAAGGAAGACCAGGGGCTTGTGGCTGTGGGTGCCCCAGAGAGCCTAGGACTATGGAACCTAAAGCAGGAAGACCCAAGTGAAAGCTCTGAGCTCAAAAGAAATGGGGGTGGAGATGGAGGGAGACCAGCCACTCTCTGAGATAAGGTACTGTTGCCCTTGGGACTCCTGGACACACAAAGCCCTACCATCGTACAAGAGGCTCTACAGAAAGAGCTGCAGAGGCCAAGGTGGCAACCAGGGAAGCTTTACTTCCCTGAGGCAGCTCTGTGTTTACTATGTTCTATTCTACTAGACCTGTTCCTACTCAGTTTCCTGAGGACCTCCCCCACCATCCCTGTTCTGTGTCCCCAAACTAGTAAATAGAGAGGGGTCTTTGGTACAGGCAGAGGAACACAAAGGTAGTTCCTTGAATGAAAAGGGGAACAGAGAAACCACTGAATGCTACTGTGGCTTCTCACCCCAAGGCCATGGGATCTGCCTCTTTTCACCTGGGTTGCCAAGTTAGTTGTATCTTGCCTGTAACTGCCCTTGGGGATGATGGATATGCTTTCTTGGGAGCCCTGTATAGAATTCCAAATCCCTAGGCAGAGCCATCAAGGAGTAGACTTGATTGAGTATAGCACCTTCACCACTGTGGTTTCCCTGAGGGCACTGGAACCCTAGTCATGCTCACCCTGTAGTGATTCCTTGAGTGAAGGGCTGTGATGGTTCTGACAATCCAAGTGAGTAGGCTGGATGGAGCTAGGTGGTAGGGCTGTTCCTCAGAGCCTCACCTCCCCTGCTAGACCTGCCTCGCCATTCCTGACATCAAGACTGCATTCAGTGACTGTACCTGCAAGATTGGCCGGCGAGACTGCCTGACTCAGGCCTGCTCTGCTCTAACAGGGTAAGTTGAGGCCTTACTCTGTAGGTTCCTCAGAGCCAAGACTGGCTCCACCTCACACAAATTGTCTCTGCAGCAAAGGAGTGCGAGAGGGCATCGAATGGATGGTGAAGTGTGTTGTACGGAATGTCCACCGGCCCCCACGGCAGAGGGACATCACATAAGCACCTCCAACTTCGCTGTCTTGGACGGTTCATCCCCTAGTGCTGGAAGAATGTGCTCCCTGCTGGCTTCTATGCCACCAATCCTGGGGGTTGAGCTGGCATCATCTTTGATTTGATTTATGTTTTCTCTAAGACAAACTTTCCCGTCTGGAAAAGCACAGGCATCTAGAGGCTTGTGCTGAGAGATAGGGGGCATGCAGGCCATCCCAGCTCTACATGCCCCCCCCCCCATCTAGGCCCTGCCTGATGCCCCCAGGGTCTGGAACCCTCCCAGCCTAGAGAATAAGGAGGGTTGGGGTGAGACCACCCTCAGGCTTGCTTGCCTAGCCCATTCCAAAGTGAAATCTGAGGGTAGCCTGGTTGAACTGCTTTTGTCAGTTGCCTTGTCCAGCTTGCCTACTGAGGAGATTGGGGTGGCCAAGGCTGATCTTCCTGGAGGTAGTCTAATGCCAGGCTTACTTGGAGGAATATCCATATCCCAGAGGCCAGCATTGCCCCTGTTTTTCTGTGTGGGTAGGGAGGGGTGACAGGATCTTTCTGTATAGCCCAGGCTAACCTGGAACCCTCTGCTCCTGCCCTCTATCTGCTAAAATTACAGGCATGGGACATGATTCCCAGCTCTTCTGGGTTTTAATGCAACCTTAGAACAAGGTTCAGCAGACTTTTCCCACTAAGCCATTCTTTCTCAGCTTTAATCTCCAAGGGAGAGGGCCGATGTAGAAATGTTTGGAAGTCAAGTCCTGCTGTACCCCCCCACAACACACACAAAGGTTTGAGTGATATCCTTGAGCACACATCCCTTTCCAGGTCAGGTGTTGCTGTTACCAGCTCAGATAGTACCCTGGTTTTGTGTTAGGAGGGCTGAGTCCCTACAGGGCCCTGGTCAGTGATATACTGGATTTCCATCTCCAGCTAGGGTGAGGTTAGGCCCCTTAGGACCAGCAATCATTTGTGTTAGGGCCAGTTATGCCCATGAGACCAGCTGAGTTCTCTGACTTCCTAGTGTAGCCAGCTCAAGCTTGTAAAATAGACAGTTTGGCTCCTGTCCAACCATCCCTTAAGGCAACTAAAGGCTGGTTCCCTACCCTAGGCACGGTGGTTACTACAGGAAACTGCTATTCTGGGGTCTTTGCTGGGAAAGTGATAACTCCCAGGAAGGTTTGGAGTTGTGGTTGGGCTATAGGCTCAATACCTAGTATCCAAAGTCAGGTCAACTTTCCTTAAGGGGGCCTGAGAAGGGTATGACTCAGTGGGAAGAAGTAGATTTATTCTTCTGTGGGCGCTGTGATTCATGGGGAGGTCCCTGGCCAGTCCCAAGGGTCTGTTGTGGGCTTGTGTCCCAGGACAAGCAGGAAGGGCTGGGCCTCCAGCCTCAGGAAGGATTTGGTTACCTTAGAGGGGCAGAAAGTGGCAGGGCAGTTTCCCAAGTCACTGAAGGGTCTGGATATTACCTCAAGGCCTCATTTCTGGGAAGGTGCTGGGCTACAATAGGTTGGCTGGGTGCCTCCTGGAGGAGCCCCTGGGAATTAGGAGTGGGTTGAATTCAAAAGATGGTAAAACCAGGTTAGGGGAAATCTTCCAGCATGTGGACACTAGATGTTTTCCCAGGAGTCACCGTGGCCATGTTCCCTCAATTCTGTCAACCACTGAGCAAGATTAGGGGTTTCATGAAGTGACTTTTGGGACACATCAGGGTGAGCAGAAATTGTGATCATCCTCATTTCTAAGGGCTTGGAAGCAAGAAGGGATAGACTTCCCACCAAGGGTCCCATATTGGCCTTTGAGCAGAATCACAACTTCAGAGCAACTGGCTTACAAAATGAATGGCTTTATAAAATAAACCTGAAGGAGTCTTCTGGTGAGGTTTGGGTGACACAGGTTGGGAATATAGAATAAAGTCCTGCAGACAGGGAAGGGGCTCAGGGAGCCATAAGAAAGCATGTACGCAAGCGCCTCTGCAGCTGGGGCAGCCTAGCCTTATGTAGTGCCTGAAGCAGCTGTGGCAACAGTGCCTGGTTCTGAGCTTCACTGAGCTTGGAGAGCTGCTGTCGGAGCTGCAGCTGTAAGGCCATGAGGGCTTCCTGTGGTGGTGATGGGCCTGGTTTGCCAGGGCTTACCAGGGCCTGCTGTAGCCGCTGTAGCCCTTTGAAGGAAATGTCCTGGAAAGCCACAAAGTCCATAACAGCACGTTCACACTCCTCAGTCCCTGCAAGGGATGTTAGGGTCAGCCCATGTGGGTCACTGAATTCACAGAAGAGAAATCCCTGAATAACAAGCCATGGAAGTGGGAACATGGGGCCAAAGCAACCAACCATTCAGAGGAACTTCAGGCTAGAATGCCAGATGCAAAGATCCTGGGCCAATAGGTTGGAAGACAAGGAAGGCAGACAGGTGGAGGGTGGAACTAAACGTTTAGTCTCCCTAGGGAGACGAGCTGCCCCGTGCACTCTGCCCCTGCGCCACAAAGCTGTCACCACAAAGCTACTCAGCTGGAATGCCCCATAGCTTCTGGCTCACCTGGCCCTCTGGCTCCATGAGGGAAGCTGGTGCAACTGGTGCATAGGGCATCGCGGAAGGAGGAGCCAGGCACGTTGAGGACCAAGCCTAGGGCTGAGCAGTTACGGTGAGGAAGGCATTGTTCTGAACTTGAGCTGCTGGCCGAGAAGGTGCCTGTGAGGCATGGACCACACTGAGTGTTCTGGCTGGAGGTGCCTGGAGTAGGAGGAGAGTAGTTAGAGGTGCAGGGGTGTTTTTTCTCCTGCAATTAACATCCGAGGCTCCCGCAGCCACCCACTGGGCAGGGCACCCACCAGGGACGATCACACCGGCGCCTGGAGGACAAGACGCATGTTCTAGGCAGAAACCTGCATGCGCGAAGTAACCTGGGCGGCAGCGACAGACACGATTATGAATGTTATGGCAAGGCCGCACCTCCTCCTCGTGTTCCCCGCAGATGACGTTGCAATAACGGCAGCGCTCCAAATAGTTCCAGTATTGTGTATAGTGGCGTGGCGGGCATGCAGCACACGTTGTGGGGCGGTCCTGGCGACAAGGCAGCTGCACAAATGTGCCCGGAGGGCACTGGTTACACACTAGCCACTCCTGTGTCTCTGCATCCTGCCACCGGTATGTGGGTGTGTCCGCTGCCGCTGCCGAGCTTGGGGCCAGCGGCGGGATAGACCATGCCCACAACAGCAACACTGCTAGCCAGTACCTCACCCTCATGGTTCCTGAAGCAGGCAGAGAACGGCTCTGCACAGTCGCCAGGCTGTCCAACCTGTGTGAGCACTCCAGCTCGGGTGCCAGGTGGTGCTTTAAGAGCTGGGAAGGCGGGCTTAACACCCACGCTTAGTGGGAATCCCCGCTTCCAGTGCTGGCAGGCAGGGTGGTTCCCACATAGGCAAGAGCTCCTGGAGATGCCTGGGACAGCTCTAGGCCATGGCTGGTGGGGGCAGTCAATGGGAAGGACACTGGACTGCCCAAAGGAGGTGGTCTCCCACTGGGTCTGTAAAGGGATCTTTGCAGACCTTTTTCCTTCCACATTCCCCAAGCCCAGGACACAAAAGACACTCTCGACCATTGTTGGTTTTATTAGAAAGGCTACCCCTTAGGTAATGCTGACATAGGCCTGGGGGCTCCACTCACAAACCAGCCAGTGCTCTGAAGAGACTAGCAGACCTACCCCAGACCTGCCTTACGGTTTCAGGGCCTCTCACAAGTAGGTTTAGTGTCTACTGGAGAGCCAAGGGAGACTTGTGTGGAAGGCTGCAGTGGGTCAGCCTGTGTCTTGGCCCACAATAGAAGGTAACAGGCCACATCAGGGCTCCCAAGGGTGTCCACTGGTGCTCACTGGGGCGCCTGCCAGAAGACCTGTGTGATGCTCTGCTTCCTGTTGACAGCATGACAAGCTGGACACATCCTAGAGGCCTGTGGAGATACCTGCTAGGCACTGCAGCCTAAGAGCATATACCCTATCCCTCTTGGCCCACCACCAGAGGTGATGCCTAGCAGGAGGTGGAAAGGGCCATATGCCAACCTGGAGTTGCACTTGCCAGCAGGCCCAGCAGCAGTAGAAGTCACAGGAAGGGCACTGGAAGAGCACTGTGTCCTCTGCCCCACAGTTCAAACACATGAAGCCTGCTGCACAGGGGGTCTGCATGAGCATACTTTGTTCATTGCCCTGCCATGGCCAACAGTCCCTGTAGCCCCTCCTATGGCTTACTCCACTCGGGCTCCATGTGCCCATGGGGTAGTGCTGGGGGCCACACAGTCCCTGTGGTGGTATCATCAGAACCTGCACTCTGGTCTGGCCTTTGTCTAAGGAAGGACAAGATCTTACTCTGGGTCTTCTCAGGTTTCTTGGACATCGAGGGTCCTGCAGACAGTAATGAATCCAAGAAGCATAAGGTACTTCCCTCCTTTTCACCCCCAGGTGCTGTGAGGGGCTCAGGGTGACAGGGCAGGGGTGGAGTGGGCCCTTACCTGGTTGAGGGTTCTTGTGGATGAGCTTAAGAGGCATAGTAACACTCTCCTTCTGGGGACCTGGCGGCTCCAAGCCCCAGCCTGTGGTGGGCAGGCCCATCAGGTCTGCACAGGTCTGCAGGAAGCGAGGCTTGTGGTGTGGACGCACAAACATGCCAAATCCTGTGGAAGAGCTTTGCTCAGGCTCTGCCCGTTTTACAGAGTACCCATGCCACCCTTCTTCCAGCAACCTTGCCCTGCCCTGCCCAGGGGCTACGCACTCTGTAGCAGGGGTAGGTCCTCAGATCTTGCAGTGGTCAGTGCTGCCAGCACAGCCAACACCTTGTCTAAGTCATCATCCTGTTTGTATGCCCTCAGCGCTGACATGAGCTGGCTACAGCCAGCAGAGCCCACAGCCTTGCTAACATCAGCGAAATAGGCACTCACAGCAGGCTGGCAAGGTTTCTCTATTCCAGATCCCACTTGTGGACAGCTGCTAGGGTCTCCTGGTGGGAGAGTCGAAAGGCAGAGAAATTTTTCCCACCTTTACTTCCTCCCAGGAATCCCCCAGAGAACCTGTATGTAAGCTGTTCAGCAAAAGCAGAATGAAGAATCGAGCAGTCCAGCAGATCTCTCATAGTGGTGTATAGCTATACAATGGTGCCTCTAGTTCAATGCCAAATTGTGAAGTTTGGGCCTCTTAAAGACTGTAAGTCCCATCTGGGGTCTTTAGAAACTAGTTACCTCTGGAGGGCAGCTGGATGGACATGTGGGGCCTCCCTTGGTTCAGGTGCTCGCCAGGATCCAGCTGCTTGTCCATGCCTTCAGACAAGGTCAGCTTAGGCTCGGGCTCCCTCCTTCCTGAAGAAACATACTCCTGAGACTAGGCCTCATAAACTTCCTCAAACCAGGAAGGTACTCTGACATGCATCCCTCAGGTACCTTGGAAAGGTAAACACATCTCATAGACCTGCCCATCTGGATAAGATAGCCAAAACTTCACCCTTCAGCTGAGAGTATAGACAGTGGGTCCAGCTCATCATGAGTGCAGGCACCTCAGTGGGTACCTAGCCCAGAGTGTGGGTCTTCCCAATCACATAAGGCCACTCTGGCACACTTGCTCTGGGAAACCCTAGGGTAGGTAGGATGCTCTGCATCAAGCATGGAGAATGGGCACTGCCTCTTGTTGAGGGGGCCAGCTCAGCTGTTTGAACAGTTGCCTACCATCCAGGGCTATGGTATGTGAAGTGAACTCTCCAAAGGCAGGTCTCTCTTAAGATGCCTGAGGTAGAGGCAGAGCTCACCCAACAATCAGTGCCACCCTTTTGTGACAGGAGCAGAAAGGCTGGCCAAGCAAGAGCTTACGATGCCTACTATGAGGAGCTACCTGCACTTCAAGTTTAAGATTAACAGTCTGGCCTGGGACCTTGCTCACCGGTAGAGTCCAGAGCTGGCTGTGCCTGCGCTCTGCAGGGCACGCTGTATTCTGATTGGTAGCCACGGCCTGTTAGCTGGAAACAGATGTCCTGAAACTGTTGCTTGTGGTGGGGTCGTACAAACTGGTAGAAGCCTGTTGGAAGAGGGTGTCTGAGCCTACAGGCTCCATACACTGTGATGGATGGGCTGGGGGCTCTGTAGACCATGGCCCACCCACCAGGACCTTTCTCTAGGAAGCAGAGATAACCCTGGGCCCTAGTGGATCTCCTAACCAGTCCCATCCTGTGGCTGTAGTGTTATCCCTATAGTGGAAGGTCTTTGTAGGCCAAGGCACCTTTGAGTAGGGTATGCTTCTTGGGGTCCTCAGCAAAGAGGCAGGTAAGAGAGGCCACCAGGGCTTCAAAGTCATCAGAGCTTTTGTAGTGCTGCAGGGTCTGGGTAAAGGTGTTGAAGTTGGTTTGGCTCAATGTCTGCTTCACAGCCGCCATGAACAGCTTGGCTCTGTCTGCCTGTGTGCTAGCCGCTGGCTCCTCCTGTAAAATGTATAACCGAGAGCCCCATTAGGGCCAGCCCCCATCCCTTCTGCTGGGAGGCAGCACAGAACCTAAGGCCTTAGAGGACAGCACTGTCTGTGAGCCATCTGCCTGCCAGGGCAAGGAACAGGAGGGCTTCTGGAGAAGCAAAGTCCAGTCCTGGTTTGTGGTGAAGCTCAGGCCTGTCTAGGATCACAGCAAAGCCAGTCAGACTCCTACAGGGAATCTGTGTGGTTCACTGAACCACAGTAGGTGTAGCTGTAGAGAGGGATACTTCTCAACGGGCTGCACCCCACTTCAGAACACTTTAGATCCATAAGGAACTATATAAACCAGGGCAGGGATGGTCCAAGCAGCTGCCAACCCCTACTCTGTAGAGCCAGCCCACTTCCTGATGCACCACTCCTCCTGGGCACTGCCTGGCTTTTCCCAGAAGCAGAGAGACAGGGACAAGGCAGCCACACTCAGGTCTTTTCCAGAAGGGAAGGGGCTTCATGGCTAAGGCTGTAATTCACCTTTTCATCTAAGACTAGGAACACACTGTACCTCCTCACAGGCAGTTCAGCAGCTACTTAGGAAAAGCCAGCACCAAGCATTCTGCTCACTATGGTCAGGGGAACCATGACCAGCTATAGGTCCCAAACCAAATGTGCCTAAGGGTCAGGTCAGATTCTTGCTAGTAAAGAAAAAGGTCTTAAGCAGAGCAGGCATGGTGGCACATGCATCTAATCCCAACATTTGGGAGGTCAAGACAGGAAGAATTCAAGGTCATCATTGGCTACACAGTGAGTTTGAGGCCAGCCTGAGGGTCCTCTTATGCTGACTACCTTGGGGCCTCCAGGTTATCAACATTTTAGCTATTCAGTAAGTCTTAACCACACCCCTGGTTGGATAGGGGCCATGGGCCTGAAGGGTGAGATACCTACATGTACTTATAAGCAGCCAGCATGGCTATAGGGATGGCTGACATACCTGATGGTTGACCAGCCTGACCTTCTTCCTCCCACCTCTCTGCTCAACGGAGGGCCTCTTCTCACACCGGAAGGACAGGGTGGAGCCACGATGTGCCTGAGAGAGACACAGCTGTGGTCCCAACCCAAACCCAGAGTACCTGTGACATCCTTCTGGCCCCCTGACTGTGGCCTGAACAGAGGCATGTAGGGAGAGGATATCATGCCCAAATCCTGGTAGCAGTGCTGGGTTCTTTCTGTCCCCTTTATGTCATGCTACCAGTTAGTCCCTGTGGCTTGCAGGCAACAATGTGAGAGGCTTAGAAGGGACATGTTTGTGGTAACTTTCAGAGTCTGGGGCTTTCACCAGGGCCTGGCATAACAGGAATGGAGGGAAGGAGCTCCAAGTCAGATCTAGGAACTTACAGGCTTTTAGTCAGGAGCCTCAGGGGAAAAGGAACTTGAGAGCGCACTCATATATCCCAGGATGAGAGTAAGGTCAGCTTTGGGCACAGCTTGTGGCAGGAAGTGCCAGATTTTGAATGGAGCCAGACTGACCCACCAGAGAACCATAACATGGTGGCAGTACTGGAGTCAAGGCCTGGTGATGAGGCATGGTACAATGGAGGAGCTAAATCTCTCACTTGCCCACCTATATGCTGGGAAGAGGACATAAAGGGCAAGAGGGCGTTGAAGAGACGGCTCAAAGGTTAAGAGCACTTGCTGCTCTTGCAGAGGACCCAGGTTTGGCTCCCAGGAACCACAAGGCAGCTCACAACCATCTGTAACTCCAGTTACAAGGGATCCAATGCTCTCTTGTGGCCTCTGCAGACACCAGGTATGTGTGTAGTACACATACATATACGCAGGCAAAATTTCATATGTATAAAAATAAAAAAACATGTAAAAGAGAAATCCTGTCTCAAAAATAAATAAAAATAAAAGGGCAAGTAAAAGGCTCATAAGGGAAAATAGTGGGGTCCACGTCCATGCCCAGACACCCTCAACCTGCCCACACCTGCTCCTCTCCAGTTGCCCCAGCTTTTTGTTCACTGTGCTCCAAGGCAGCCAGCAGCCCCATGGGCCTCTGCTGGGCAGAGACTGTCTGCTGCTCATACTCTACACACAGGGTCCTCTCAGTGTCCCCAACAGCTGACAATCCTGAAGAAACATGAATGTTGACAAGAAAGCTTATCACAGAGTAGTCACCCTCTCAATCATGTATGGCTTTTACCAAACCCCACACACCTGTGGACTTCCGCCTCAGGCTGGGCACATGTACATCGATGTTCATGGCTTTCCTGGTGGAGAGGGTGCTAGACAATGTAGCCACCCTGACAGCAGCTTCTCCCTCACTACCACTTGAGGTCACAGGCTGGAGGGCTGGCACAGGCATCTGTAGAATCAGGGTGAGGGGGTTGCACCCAAAGCTCCTCAGAAGGAACCCCAGTCCCTCCCTGAGGACACAGGCAGTCAGCTGGGCATTTGGAGCTCACAATTTTCTGAGCAACACGGAAGAACTGGGCCACATCTCGGATGATATGGCCAAAGTTGTCATACACCTTGAGGTACGGGCGCACCCAGGAGGGCAGCTGGGCCCTGGCATCAGCATAGGCAAACCTGGAGGGTATGTGGTTATCAGTTTGAATCCTCTGTCACAAAGACTAAGGGCCAATCCTTAGTCTTGTGACCAAATCATAGCACTCAAACCTCAAAGCTTCATATAGCGGAAGAGGGTCCAGGGTCTAGAAAGAGGAAGAAGAAATGGGGATCACTGTGGGGCCCTGCCTATACCTGTGGTCACACAAGAAAACAGCCCCATAGTCATGGCGGTGTCGGATGACTCGCCCAATGGCCTGGTTCACAGCCCTAGATGCCTGCTGCCGGTACCACTCCTGACCAGAGAGAAACTAGGGGGCAAGAAATTTTGGTCACAGGAGACATTGGTCCCCAAAGTTCCCTGCCCACCCAGCCCTGAGGTATATTACCTGGCCTCTGGTCCTGCTCTGGCCTCTCATCTCATCCAAGAACTGCATCTTAAGGACAACCCGGGGGTCCATGCGTGGGGGGTATGGAAGGCCCGTGACAATCACACCACGCCCATTCATGTCTGAGAAGTCGAGCCCCTCGCTGGCCTAGGGCACAGGCAATGGACACTCCTTTCCCCTGCTGGTCTCTACCCAGGCTTAGGGTCTGCCCATGCCCCAACCTTCTCAGTCACCTACCCAGGTATTGCAGGGATAAGAGGACATTCCATACTTAGGTCATTTCTACAGATCAGCCCATGACAATTCTGCCTCACTCAAAACTGCCCAACTTTGGCCTTGGCTCCTTGTGCCCAGCAGGGCCCGTAGCACTACTTCCTACAAGTCTGTTTGCTAGATGTGGGCTCCAAGGCAAGGGCCCTGCCTTAGCCTACACAAGGAGAACAGGTAGGAGGGAAGGAAGAAGGTGACCTACAGAGACCTCACCTTGCCCCTGCACACTGCTAGGAAGGTGGCCCCGCTAGACCCAGGGGAGGCAATTCGTTGGTAGTAGGCATCAATGACCTAGATGGAAAGGATGGTCAGTCAGGTTTAAGTCCCTGTTCTGTCTTCCTTCTCAAGTGAGACCCCAGATCTTATTTTCTGATAAAAGGATGGCTCCAACTGGGTGGGGTACCAGGGTTTCTAAAAGCATCTTCATGACCCAATTACCAGTAGAGAGACACCCCACACCAAGAACCTGCCCAGTACTTCCCAGAAAACACAGGGACCCCCACAGCCAGGGTAGCTGCTGGGTCCTGAGGACTCAGACAGGAAGGTCAGCTGCTGTTATCACCATGGCAAACCATGTCAAGGCTTTCTAAAAGGTTACACACCCAGGAACCTAGAAGGAAGAAGCAGCCTGGAACCAGTTAGAGTTCCTGGTCAGAGACAGTGGCCAGCCTGAGGCTTTAAGGAGTGGTAGAGGCAGGCCCCAGCTGACCCCAGATGCTAGCCTCTCACAGACCTCTGAGAAACTCCCTTTGCTCCTGGGTTCCACAAACAGAGGCTTCAGTGCTTCTACCTTCTTGGCCAAGTCTTGGGCCTGTGGGAAGAAGCCAGAATGTGAATGGACAGGTGGGAGCTACTGGCATAGCCTTATGTGCTGGCTCTACTCAGCCACCTTGCCCAGGCTTTCAATCATTTGGGGAGCTCCCTCCTTCTCAGAAGGACATGTAGAGGGGACGTACCCGCCAGAATTCCACGCTTTTCTCCATGACAGGGTAGGAAGGGAAGAAGACCAGAAGCCCATGGGGTACCACACGAGCAATGTTGCCTGGAAGTGCCATGGCTGTAGTTAAGGCAAGGCTTGGAAGTCTGCTGAGGGGCCCTGTTGCTCTCAGGAGTGGGGACTGGAATGTGCTGGGCCCCCAATGGGATCCCCAGACCCCAAGAAATGGAACAGGGTAGAGGTCCCAGGATAGCCAACAGTTGTGGGCAAGGACTTCCTGAGGGACAGAAGATCCTGTGTGAAGCAGCACTTACCCAAAGCCTTCCCCAGAGAAGACAAGCACTCCTCAGAAAACCTGCACAATCAGAAAGGCTGCTGCCATGAGGGCTCTAGACCTCAGCAACACTCAACACTGCAGAAAGGCTCAGATACCAGGAACCCCTTACCGTTTGTCATAGGCAGAGCTCAGCTGGACTCCATCAGGGCCTCTGGGAACAACCCCCACCCAGAGCTGGTTCCTGTCAATGACGTGTGGGTTCTCCAGGCAGACTGGGAATGGGCTGCGCATGGACAGGGGGAACAGACAGTGGATAAGTCCCTGAAGTCAGACTTTTCAGGACCCTGGCCCATTGGAAGCCCTTAAGTCTAGGCTAGCACCCCTACCACCACCCATTATGTTTCTAGTGTTTTGACCTCTGGCCAGGGGTGGCTCATACATTTGCATCTCCGAGGCGAAGGAGGACAGTGGAGCCAAGGTGCCACTGGTGAGGATAAGGGTACGAACTCCTTGGTAGACCAGCTCACGCATGCTGTGGCCAGGATTGAAGCACCAGTAACTCAGTATCTTCCCTGTAGGAGAACTCAGTATGAGGACAAGGCTGTGGTTCATTCTCCTCCTCACTCACTCTGTATCCAGCAAGCAAATCACCCACAGTCACACAGGCCCAGGTGCATACATCAGGACAAAAGACCAGGACAGATGTCTCAGTGGTTAAGAGCACTGGCTGCTCTTACAGAGGACCCGAGTTCAATTCCCGGCATCTACATGGTGGCTAACAACCATCCATAATTCCAGTTCCAGGGCATCCAACACCCTCTTCTGACCTCCTCAGGCACTGCACATCATGGGTACCCTTACATACATGCAGGCAATACACACACACACACACACACACACAGACCAGGTCTGAGCTGGAGCCTGCACAAAGGCCTACACACTGGCCCTTCCCTCAGGGGTCCAGGGAGCAAGAAAGAAGTTGGTCCAGGAGCACAATGGTGAGTACCAAGAGGTCAGCTGGCCCCAACCTCAAACTTCTGCAGAAACCATGACATTGGCACTGGGCTACTCTGCCAAAAATACACAGGAAGGAAACAGCATACAAACTCCTGATGTTCCAAGTATGATGGCTAAAGAAGGGGCAAGTTTCCAGACTCTGGTCACGTCAAAAGCAGGCAAGGTCACTAGTTCAGAAGGAAGCCCACAGTTCCAAGTAATGTCTGACTAACTAGAATACCACACACTGCCTGCTGCTCTTATCCAGTGATCTCTGGAAGCTCTGGAAATTAAGACACCAGAAGAACAACTTAAAAGACACTGAAGACAAAAGCCAGGCGCCAGCAGAGTCCAGAGTTATGATTTCCTAGAAAAGGTAAAGCCTCTTCCTCAGGGAGAAGTCTTTCCATCCTGGGATGGAACCTGCCCTGTCTATGGCTGCCTCAAAAGTAGCCATCAGCCATCCACCTCAAATGAGCTAATTTCCTATAAACACCCTACGAAGGAGAGCTACTTCTGAGAAATGACATGATTTCAGAGGTAAGACTCACACCCTACTTAACCCCTCAATACCTGAGCACCCTACCAATCTCCCATGGAAAACTGTTCAGAGTCCACCACAGAGACAGAAAAGGCAGGTGAAGGATATGCATATCTATGGGGTGGTGGTGGTTCTTCCTGGTGGGAAAAAGCAGTCTACTAAAGGGAGGCTACTGGGGGCAGAACCACACCACAGCTCCTATTGACTTTTGCCCACCCCTAACCCTTTTCTTCCCTCTAGGCCAGGCTGACTTGAACTACAGCATCCAAATGGGTCAGCACCTTCAGACTTGATCCTAGGGCCTAGAGAGTGGTTTCCTGAAGCAGAGGGCAGGCTCTGGAGGGCCCTCACCATGGCATTCACTAAAAGGAGGATGGGATTGCCGGGTGTGGTGGTGCATGCCTTTAATCCCAGCACTCAGGAGGCAGAGGCAGGCAGATCTCTGTGAGTTTGAGGCCAGCCTGGTCTCCATTAGCGAATCCAGGCCAGCTGTGGCTACAGTAAGACTTTGTCTCAAAAAGAC